TACGGTTCATTCTTTAGTAGGATTTTGCCATCACTTCCGACTTTCGTAGTCGCGTTTTCGACGCTCAAATTGCACTTTAATTTTTCAATCTTAATGTTTAAATACCAGGTACATACAAGTACATGTATTTCTATATTTTCACGTAAATCAAAGTTCCAATTTAGTAATAAAATTTTGTGTACCCACCTCATTATTCATTACGTTTCTATTAAGTAAAATAAATAAAGTGGCAGTAATTGGGACACTTAAGTACTTAAGTAGTTTGGACACTTAGTAAATTGATTTTACAAAATGCAAACGAACGATCCAATGGCTCGGCAAGTCAATATTGTCCAGGGTAAACGTACGCTTATTCGTTCCATTGGGAATCAACAGACACAATACCGATCGAGATGTATCAGTAACAATTACGTTTTATTATTACAGAACTATAAGAATTGATCAATGTACAATTCGAGGATACGTACAAAATTGTTCTACGTGTCGCTGCACAGGATAATAACGATACAGATATAGGACGGTTCCTGTTGCACTTTCTTCCGTAACTCCGATAATCAATCGTTCGAGCTCTTCACTAATCCTAGCAACATTATTCGAGCATCATCTTTCCCTGCGTTCACGTGACATTAACAACACGGACAATGGGCGGAGTCTGGAAGTGAGAAATCAACGAATTTAATGTGTCCCATCGAAGGACACGCCACGAACCTCAGGTACGATCGTTTTATTCTCGCCTCCGTTACCCGCCTGAACGTCGTCGCGATCCTTGGACACGATCGATATCCGATGTTCCGCACATAAAGCACGTATAGTTGGGAGCTGCTGAGTTGCCCAGCTCCGACAAACTGAACGGCACAGGGGCAAGAGGGGTATTTCGCCGACCAATGGTTAGCACTGTAAGACGCTACGTCATTCCTACGTCAGTACCACGGAATTACTCTGTTATCGCTGTATCTCACTCGATCTTATGTGTCCCGTTCGCTCTCTTTGTCACGAACGAAATTTCATTGGAGGGCTTCTCGTCAGCTCCCAAGTATACCCTCTATACGATTCGTCCCGTACCATTCCTCCACTGTCGATTTCCGATCGACCACCTCCTGTCGACAATCGAACGGCGTACCATAAATAAATCGCTATACATAATACAATAATAATAATAAAAAAAGAAAAAAAAAACACGGCTTTTGATTTAACAAAGAGTATAAATAAGACTAGATTCCGTTAGACATTAATTAAATAATTCGCGCGCGTGTGTATGTGTGTGTGTGTGTGTGTGTGTGTGTGTGTAGCTTAGAAATAAAAAAATAATGATAGAGACGGGCATCGCTCGTTCCCTCCTTCACCTTTATTCGCCTCTCTACCGAGTCTTAATCTCTCTCACGTGTAGGGTGGATGCACCAGTCAACGAACACGTACCAGTGAACGAACATTATACAGAAAAACGAGTAAACAACGTTCTTAAAACAAGCAAATGATTGAACATTGATTTTTCTCAATTCCTTGTTTCATATTCAAACAATTCTCCCGCCATTGGTCAGAAATGTTTATTTACTGGTTAATGTTCATTCACTGGTGAAAATCGGTATATTTTCGTTTTAATTCAATTGATCACATTTTTCCAAATTGAAATCTATACGCCATAAAACGTTATATATATTAAAGAAATCTAATTTCCATGTGGCAAATATTCGTTGATATTATTATCATTTAGAATTCGACGTTAACAAAGTCTCGTTAGTGTTCATTCATTGCGTGCGTTTACCCTATTCTCGTTCTCTGTCCTCGCGAGAGGGGCGAGAGCCTCGCGAAAAATGCATTGCAGAATCGTGGCCGAAGAAATTCATGGCTGGTCGGGCCGATAGAATACCTGAATTTATCGCCTCGCGTTCCCCCTTTCCTCCCTTAACGCAACGATTATCGTTGCATCCGCTTCTAATCGGTGAGCACGGAACCACTCTTTGGTTAACACGTTCTTTCAGCGCTATGTACATTCCACTCTACCATCTTTGGCACGGAGCTACGATCGAATTTACATTATTATTAAAACGCGCCGTTACGATAACGTTGCCGGCCCGCGAATTGCCACCTGTTCCCTACAACACCAATACGACACCCAGCTTCCCTTCCTTTTATCGTTCTTCGGTTACTAATTACACAGCTTCCGTATAAAAATTCCAAACGAACATTTCGCATTGTGTCCGCGGGACCGATCGAGGCATCGTTAACACGACGTATCGACATTATTAGACACCCACTTACCGATACTTTGTATGATTAATTTTTCTAAGCACAGGATTTCACAACAAAAAAGTGGCTTGTTGCATAGAAATTGTTTTTACATAATATACGACGACATAGTATTATTTTAATTAACTTTTGTTTTTAGTAATTTCACGATTTAATGGTGATCCGAATAACGTCCTATCGGGATAACATATTCTCCGAAAACCAAAGTAATCGGAAGCTTAAATAGCGGGCGTGCGCATGGGATAAAAATAATGAAAAACTGCGAGACTGTAGGAGGCAATTTCGAAAACAGATATACCAATGGATTCAGAATGAAATGCTCGTTACTTTTTGTCAATATGTAAATTTCAATAAGTTGTAAAATAAAGTTGTAACGAATTTTTTTGGTACAAACAAATTGTATTTTTCACAATTTGTTAGTACCATTTTATTGTACATAGAAAACCATGAAATCCATCCACTAGAAGTTTTCATGTATCTCCTTTGGTTTTCGAGCACTTCCGGGTCGGTATTACCGCCTTTCCTGCTAGATCAAAGATTATAGCTGTTACCAAACACGCACGCGGAACCTGTTAATAACGCGAGATGACTGTGAAATCCTTGTGGTATACGTATTTGCATATTAATGAAATTAATTCTGATGGTGATTGGAGCATTGCGCTTCACCGTAATTATACTTGTAGCTTACATTTTGATTTGGGCTACGTAATGAGTAGCTATTGATTATTCGTAACCGTTTTATCGCTTTTTATACGTTTGAATTACCTTTCGGTTAGAAAACCAATTTGAGAACTATTCGATGAAAGTTCCTTACAGAAAATCTACAGTACATAAATGATAATTGACTGTATAAAAAATAATTTCACAATCAATTCTTACGGAAATAAGTACCGAAAACCACAAAGCAAAATGTCCGTTTAGGATTGATATCATGTAACTCTACTTGAACTGCGTGTTAGAGGTCACGAAATCTGTAATTTAATTCCGAAAAAATTAACGATATTCCATAACCCCTGCAATTTTACAACGAATTTCGAAATTTCTACAAGTTTCATAGTCGAAAATGTCTATTTTTGTACGCCTTTCTCTCTGAGAAATCAGACAATCATATGCTATCAAACAGAACGCCACTTACCTACACATGATTCCACGCAGGTGCATCGAACACATTATGAAGTATTGGTATTTAACCATTCTGACATTAATAGTCACCTATTAATCGTGGGCAAATTGCGTAGGTTGCGCAATTGTCTTGCATGCTTGCAATAGTCAACCGATGACCATGTTCGTGGAAAAAAATTCGAGAACGCTATTACGGCATTCGAAATAAGTACTTCTATCGGGTGTCGAGACACATTCCGCGAGGGTAAACGCTGCGAACACGTTCGTACCCTCAGCGACATAAATTCCTCCAGTTACTTTACTTTCACTCTGTGCCATCCGTAAATCCCGCGAGAACTCCTAATGGTATGATAATAAGGCAGTTAGACACTGTTGGATGCAATAAATACAACGATCACCCTGTCTGTTTTTATAAAGTTTCATACTCTAGCACTCATTGTCAGAGAGACCTGGGAATTATTTGAACAAAATATTTCGAAAATTATTAGTGGAATAACTCAGTTATCGCTTGGACTGTGTATTTTGTGAAAAATGCAATTTAAAAAATAAAACTTTCATAGGATTGAAAGATCCTGTAGAAGAAATTAATTATTCTTTAATTTTCACTGTTTTAAAAATGAACCATAAAATTGTTAATACGCGTCATCGTTCTCAATCTACTTATCATATTTTACTAGATTTAAAATTTTAATCTTTCTGTTGTAACAGCTTAAATACCTCTTGGAACATTCTACGAATCAAGTAGTACTCGTTGTTTTATTCGAAAAGATATTTTATATAAATACTGAATGTAAACTTGATTATTTTATTCCTGTATAGAAATCCAATTTCGAACTGTTCTTTCGATTTTTATACTACAAACTGTGAACAAGACTGTAAACCATTTTTAGGTGGATTCTCAAATATGTTTCAGGATTATTTTCAAACGAAAACTTCGTCAAATATACACTTACTATCATCCCAATGCAAAGTTCTTATAAAAATAGAGATGTATGCTTATTTGTTTTTTGGAACCGTCAGGATCCCCGAGTCAGCCGAAGCCAAACAGTCAGGTCGCTCTCATCAATCAGTCTTTTAAAGCAACGTAATTTCATTCGTTATTATAGTTCGATTAAAAATAACTATCCACTTTCAAAACCTCTCGTATTGTCTGATACTCAAAAGAAGCAAACTATTTCAAAACCGCAAAGCAACTTGTCGTAACGCCACCAGTATAAATTACCCAATTTCGATTCGCGATCAACCGAATTCGATTCAATTATAATTACCGTTACGATGTAAGAACCACGAATCATGAAACACTGCGATCGCCGTAAAATTATTCGATGAAGTATACTATGAAAGAGAGTCGAACCTTTTCCCGTGTCTCTAGATTTCTCAATGCGACAGAATACAGAACAATCGATGAAACGGTTCAAACAACGTCCCTCCGAACATCTTCTACCTTCCACCTGTACCAGGACACGTGTTTCCCCAACCCATATCAGTCGTGTCAAGTTGTACCGATTCCAAGTGCCAACATCCATCCACGCATCCTCTGCACACACCCAGCGGCGCGAAGCCAGCGAAACGTTAACAAGTCAAATTGAAAAACCGACCGGCAACCTCGGTGGGTTAGCAATCTGGTAATTTCACGTCAGAGGTAGAGCGCGATGATCATCGACGAACCCCGTTGGCACCACGTCCACCATGTTCGGATGTGGGACCGGCGAGGGCAACAGGTTCGTGTCACTCTCGAGATCTCCGTCCGCAGCTTCGCTGTCCGTCGCACCTGTTAACTCGCGCACATTGCCCGGAAGATAGTCCTTCCAGCTTCTGAACAGGTATCTGGTGAACTTCCGTAGCTGCCGGAACTTGCAGTAGGTGGCGCCCTCCGCGGACTCGAGCTGTTGCGTTTGAATGAGAAAACCTTTTTCCTTAAAGGTCTGCTCGAGTTTTTCCCTTTGCAGGGACTTTCGAGTTTTCCGTTTTCGTCGACCCTCCTCCGGATTGACGGTCCTTTGGCAGGGAGCTGGCTGAATCCTCTCGCCGGCTGCATTCAGGAAAGCGCCTGTTGACGAGCCGGATTGCCCAGCCGACTGTTGCAACGCTTCCCGCGGGAAGAACTCGTACCCTCTCATACTCTTGTCACCTGTCCCGCTGTAATACCTGAAGTTACCCCCAGAATCCACGGACAGGCTCTTCTTCTCCTGCAGACTGGGCTTCGCACCGCCGGTGAACTTGAACTTGCATATACTGACCTCCGTCGCTGGATTGTTATTGTTCTCGGTCGGCATAGGCGGTATGAAGATCGCGGACCGTTTCCGTTTCGTCGGCTGGCTCTGACTCTGGCCGACCGCCGCGTTCCTTTTAGGTCTGGGTGAGACCGGGGGCGGCACCGGCGCCGTCTGGGGCGAGGGTGGAACCGGAGGCGGTACCAGAGGCGGACTCTTCGTTTCCATCATGGAATACAAAGACTTCGGGACTATCTTTTGCTCCTTCGCTGGTTGCTCCGTGGTTCTTGGGTAACACTTGTCGTTCTGGGCCATCTTCTGGTAGTAGAGAAGCTGAGACTGCAACGCCATCGGATGGATGAACACACCAGCGTTCGGCCAGTAAACGAAACCAGGATTCGCACCTAGCATAGGATCGATGATATTGTTATTGTGGTTCACGTTACTGCCGCTGCGACAGATGGAATCCAGCGGACGGCAACCGGGTTCCGTAGGGAACATTGTACCAATACATTCGACCTCCTCGCCGTCGCTGGAAGTCTCGCTTTTCACTTGGCCGGACTCGTACACGTTTCCGTGTTTCCGTAAAAGCCTGATCTTCAGCTGATTCAGATCCCTGATGCAGAGATTCAGGGGTTCGTCCTGCTCTTTCGAGCTCTCGATCAGACCGAAGCTTCGTCGGGATTCCTGGGTGAGTCTCTTCTCTAATAAGCTACTTATTCTATTCTGAACGTCGGTCCTCTGAAAGGGGATCTGGGGTGATATCCTCTCGCGACAGTCGAGCCTGTCTCGCGGGGACAGCCTCTTCTCTTCGTGGCCGGGTGTCCCGGGCAGTATGGTGCCGTAATTCTTGTAAATTAAGTGACAAATGTCCGCCTTCTTCGGTTTCCGACCTCTCCTAGGCTTGCTGTTGTCCAACGTGATCTCGCCCATATATGGCAAGTCCGAGTACTTCATCGGCGGCCTACCGGACGCTTGTGATTGCGGCTGATTATGATTGTGGTGGGGCGTGTTCAACGTATGGGAGGAGGTCGATGTGATCACGGACCTCCTGGAGCCCGATGGCTGACTCGAGTTCATCGTCGGCAACTGAGGGGACGGAATCTGGGGGCAAAGTTCCTGTTGCATCGCGGCGATCCGTTGCAACCAGCCGTGCACGTCTGCGATCGGGCTGGGCGTCGAGGTCGAGCTGGTAGGCGCGGGACTCGGGATCGTCGGCTCGATCATGTGCGTCGGAGACGAGTTCAAGGCTTCTTGGGCAAGCGAGGCTTCGTAATGGTCCAGGTACTCCGGGGGCAGTGCTTGGTGATGGAACTTGAGCTTCCATCGCGACTTTCGACGACCGCGACTGCAACAGACGTTTGAAATATGTTCGTATTGAATTATGTTTAATAACTTTCGGAGATAAATTTCCAGTCTATAGGGTGTAAAATACAGGGTGAACCACGAATCGTGATCAGTAGAGATTACTCTGTTATTAACAGTCCAATCGAAAATGTTTTTATCAGGTATATAGCATGGTTTCAAGAAAGCTTTAACGTGATTGTAACAGATTTTTTGTCAACTCTTTCTTTCAAATACATCTATAATTTTTTTTACGTTTATTTGTTAGATTTCAAGACGAATGCGGTAAGTATCGTAACATAACATGTGTTATTTTTTTTTTTTTTTCATCTCGGTCGAGAAAAGATTAGTAATATATTCTTACCTAGACACCTGACTCTCCCCTAAAAGTTTCACTTCGATAATTGTCCCTTCGAATGAGAAAACAGATTCATGCAAAAGTATTTGTTTCGCTCATTAGATGCGTGAAAGTAGTCATCGTTTTATTATTGGCAATAATAATCGTGAATTGGTAATAGTTGGGGTCTCGTGTTAACGCAGTTTTCCGTGTCGCTGCATTCCGAACCACACCTCGACGGCCGTTTATACGGCGTAACGTGGCACCTCGGAGCGTATGCACGGTACAGATCACGCGGTCCTCTATCCTCCGTTCTAACGCGGGCTTCTAATGAAATTCAATAACGGTAATCGACTCGCGGCATTTCAACGACGTACCTAAGAAATCATTCGTTTTTCTTTTTCTGCTTGTACGACTCGGGAAGAGTTGGTGCACTCGGAACGAACCAGTTTATCCCGGCGCTTATATCCTTCTTGCTGCCCGTCTAAAGTGCTTTCTCGAGCGGCGCTCGAGTTTTACGACGAAAAGGGTCGTTAGAGAAGAGAACGTGTCAGTCGACACGGATTACGAGGATGGACGCTGGAAGTGTTCATTTCCAGAGAAGAGTAAATCTCCGGGATGGTTCGCGATAAATCACGCCGGACGAACTTCACTTGGACTTGGATCGCAATGTCTACCATAGATTGCACAAATTGTATCTTAACGGATGAAATTTTGCTTCTTAATACTGAATCAATTTTTGCTAATTTACATTTATATGGCGTCGATAACATACTTATGCTTGCTGGTGATGATTACGTTATTGTGGGTCTGGATCGAGTCTCTTTTAAGTTTAGCTTCTACTCAAATAACAGATAAGTGGACTATGGATGTTTATGCGAATATAGATTTTTGTGGAGTAATTTATACAGATTGAAGTCTCACACAAAATTGTTTTCTTTGTTACGATTTATATACAGTTTATATAAAAATTTATCTGTATCGAGTTTTAGACAATCAGAATTACAAATGTAAGCGATAAATGCATACAATCCACAGTGTAGAAATTTTAGTAAAAATATAAGGCTACTGAAATCTTATTTGATAAATAAATTTATATTTGCTATATATTTTGATACTTCAAGTAATAATGTAAAATAACTAATAGAACTTGTTGAGAAAATAACTGAAAGAGCTCATACAATTCGAAGAACGGATGTGAATATTAGGTTGCAAATAGGAGCAGTAAAAATAAAGCGAATGGTATATCACTGACAGGAATTTGTTAAAAAATATCTGCCCTATCTCGACAGATTCCATGATTTATACAGGGTGTGGCTAAAATAATGGTACCATCATTTTCGTACGAGGCTCCATTCTTGAATTAAAATCGATTTCGAGAAGCTGATGCCCGTGCAATTAAGTAGAATATGTGTAACGTGTCTTTTCATTGGCTACGATTTGTATTTACTATAAATATGAATACGTACACTCCCGCTCATAATTATTAAGACACTTACCGAACATGCTGGAAATGTTACAAGATATTACGAAGTTGCTGAACGTCAGAAATAAATATTGTTTAGGGGATATTAAAACTGGATTGTCAACACTTATGGTATTATGAAGTAATAAAAGTGGCCTGAAATACATAACTTTTATGACGTATCGCATGTTCTTCGTACAGGCCAGGTGTTCTGATACTTAAGAGCGATAGAGTGTGTATCAAATAAATTTTCAAAGTGAAATACGTCTGGCATAATGAGTTATACAACTCGAACAATCGATTCTTAGCTACTACATGGGCTCGATCGATGACTTAGTGCAGCTAACAAATGAAATGAACTGAATTGAATGAAACTAACTCGTGGAACAGTTGAGAAACGCGTTCAAGTACAATAACCCGTTACATTTAGACGAATTATACACGTCATTTTCAACAATTAATAATTCGGAAACGATTCCTCCAACGTAATTTCGTCTTAGTTTGATATGTAGAAACCATCTTGTGAAAGTGTCTGACATTTTTATTAACACTCTGTATAGTCGGCAGTTTAGGAGCTATTTCAAAATAATGCTAATGACGGGACATTCTGAAGATAAAAAACGTGATTCATTTAACACGTTACCTTGGTCTCCCTCTGGTATTGAGGTCCGAAACAGTGTGGCCAGGGTTTTCTTCCAGCACCTGGATCTGATGGCGGCCAGTTTCACGTCCACGGCCGTGTTTGCCGTCGACAGACGTTGGGGAGGTGTCTGCATCTACTTGCGGACTATCAAATTTACCATTAACTGTCTATCTCCTAGCATACCGAAGAAGCAAACGAAACTGTTCATTATTAATTATAGTTACCAATGAAAAAGAAAGAAATAAAGCGAAATGAATGTTGTAAATTTTTTTGAAAAAGACATCATTGAAATGTTATAGTAATACACAAGTGTTGATTTAAATCGTCTTACTCGGTTGAAAGGTTGATATAAATTACTGTTGTGTGGATCTTATAATTAATTACAGCAATATTTTCTACGGTAAATAATCGTTCATTTACGAACGAGATAGTACAATATGCATTAAATCACAACGTAGTTTGTATATAAGTATTTCATAATTCACGTTTGAAAAGATATTATTGTACGATGCCAGGTCGTGAAAGCCTCAAATCTCTAAAAATCTTATTCTTCAAAATTTGTGTCCTAGCTCCACCCTGCATCGGATCCCTCAATTCCGCTGCTGACAATGACTTGTTTCAGAGGATTGCCGCCGAGGTTCGACTCAAGTGTATACGCACCCTTACAACGCGGAGATAGAATGAACGAATGGGACGCGTCAATTAGCATAATCGTAGGCTCACCTCAACGGATTCGTGTCACGACTTCGTTCCTCCTCCTCCTGTGGCTCCTGCTTGACCGCCATGTGGAGCAGAGGTGGCAACGGACACTTTATATGTGTCGAGTGATGCAGATGATGCTCCAGAGAGGTGCTGTCTGTAAGGCCACCGTCTATGCCAGTAGATTGTGCGCGAGGCACGACTTCCTCGGTCTGCATAGTGCCCCCTAAAAAAAATAATTTAGTTCCGGTTATCGACACACTCGCGATAACTTTACTTACGTCAATCATCATTTTTTGGAGTTAACACGAATTAGGAAAATGATAATTGTCGATGCCTTGGGTCACTCAGCAGACGGAGCCTTATACGACAGAATTTCATTTTACACTTTCGAGTTACTTTTACAGGAGCAATGACTTTCTTTACGGTTCCAACGATATTTACAATACACCTTTGTGAAAGATATAAATTTATGCTATTAGTTAAAATGGACCCTGCATCCATTCTATTAAATCGTTAATTAATGAGTGTAAATAATGAGAAAATGCAGACATCTGATAAAAATGTGATTTAATAATTTTCTTTGGGTCATCCTTATTTTTCATCGTTTTATTTCTTTACACATATCTTGAACATAAATAATTGAGGCATAAACATAAGTCATAACTCAGGACTATCTAGATGTTACATAGAACAATAGAAACTAGTAAGATCAATTGAAAATCAGTTGGAACAAATAAATTAGGCTGTGTCTAGAGCCTTAAATGCCCACAGGGCATTCTAGCTTTAACTAAAAAGTGAAAAGCATATAAAACTCTAAATATTTCGAAAAATCTTGAAAAACGATAATTTGTTAGACAGGACATTTTAACTAAAGAGAGTAATCTAGTTCATATTAGAAAACGCAGAAGAAAATGAAATAGAAACAATCTAAAACAAACATTTCTGCAAATCAAGTCAGTCTCCTGGCAGTTAATTTCAGATCGGAACGTTTCAAACTACACACACACACACACATACGTCATTTAAAACACGCGCGCTGGAAAATTCGAATCGAAACCGGAGCGTTCCCAAAGAATTTCGACATTTCATTCGATTGGGTCGCCTTTAAACGTATGTATATAGGTCCGAAGAAAGGTTGCGCGTGGGCATATCCGTTGGAGTGAGTTTTGCTCGCGGTGCAACCTGGATATTGCGGAATATTCATAAGCTTCTCGTTAATGAACGCATAGGAATAAACGTGTGGAGCATGCGACACACGCTGATAACTTCTGTGCATCTATGTAGAGCCGCGACGAACCCGAATAGTTATCCACCGGCCCAACCCCGTCGTCACATGGAAGGCGCCTTTTTCTTATTTCTGATTGGTAGGATGGACACGTGATCGACGAATTCCACCAATTGGAAATCCGATCGCGCATGCACTAATAGCAGGCGTGAGAAATGGAAGAAAAGCGAAACAAACGGCAGCATGGAAATCACGGGGATAATTATGCGTGGAGTTACACCATAGGAACTGTGTGGGCACGCAGACAAGACTTCGAAATCGTAGAAATGAAGGGAGAAAAAAAATTGGCAGCGCCACGATTTCTTATGAGACGAATCGCTCTTCGGAATGTGCTGAAATCGTTGACTTCCAGCACCTGTCGCTAGTGTTGGGACTGATACTAAATCGATGTTATCGATACCTGAGTATAGATTTTAATCAGGTATCGGGTAGTATCGTAGACGTAAGTATTGAAAAGAATTGATGATCCTTGGATGCTTATACGAAAGTATTGGTACTTGTTTGGTAGTTCTAGGAAAATATCGATACAGGTTTGATACTTCTATGAAAGTATCGATGGGCGTTTGATGCTTCACGGAAATAGTGATAGGGTAAATGCACCAATGAATGAACACTTACGAGATTTTGTCCCCTTAACAATAGAACTACCGATGACAAACGCATATCTGTTTCGATCGGTCGATAAACCTGAGAGACTTTTGAAAATTTACAAATTCATGAATTAACTAATTTCTTCACTTTCAGATCGTAGTACAAGTGGCAAATGGTCCGAGAGAATGTATTGTTATAACATTGTAATCATTATAAGAGTGTATTGAAAAGTCATTTTGACTTGTTTGGTACTTCTAGTGTTAAAGTCGCGTCTCAGCCGATAAAAAAAAAATACGTATCCCTTATTCTTAACTGCTTAACAGACATACGAAGTTTCATCATAATCGGAGGGGGACATTTTCATGCCTTCCCTTGTAAGTACTTAGGTATCGAATTGCTTGAGTAATATCGATATGTATCGTACAAGTCCCATCGCTAGCTGTCACGTATATGATTTCTCATAATGCTCTTTTAAGTTCATCGAAACGTCGATGCTGAGCGTATAAATAGTCCGCGCCGCTCGCGTGCGTTCCTCGTGCGTAATAATAAACGCAAGAATAAGAAGACCCGGGGTGCTTGGACGCGAAACACGCTCGTAAACGCTGTGTAAAATGGATATTGATAATCTCATGGTCGAATAGTATCGAATACTTGTCTGTGATTTAACACTAGAACTACCAGCACTGAATGAATATTAAATTAAATTTTATAATATAGTAATATACTCGATATATAATACAATTTAACGTAAAATGTGTAGTAAATTAGAAGCCAATGTAAAACACTGTTATTATTTTAGAAATCCTAAAATAAGAAACCCGCAATCAGTCATTTGACGGGTTGGGTAGCTCTAGTGTTAATACGCGAGCACCTCTGACCCTGGATTGGCGCAGGTTTCTGCTTAACCTCTTCAGGGACAAATTATTAAGACTATTTTTCACCTGCATTTATTTAAAATATATTTATGAATACTAACGACAATCAATTGGTAGGTTATCCTTTTTTCTTTGTTACGGAATTTCCGAGTAAGTGTTCGTTCACAATAATATTCATTGTATTTTTGGAATCATGTATGAATCAAGGAAAGACTAAATGTACACATGTGTGCCAGTATCTCTCGAGAGGTTAAAGGGTTAAGCCACCTTGGATGAGTCAAAGTCCTAGTCATTTACGGCAATTTTTTGGGGGAAGATAATGAAATAAATGGAAAATTCAGTATAAAGCCTCTTATTGTACAACTTTCGACAGGAAATATCGTATTTTTTGATCGTTTTTTTCCTTACAAAATGGCGACGCTAGAGCTAAAATATCGTTCTTACACCATTTGACCTAAAGCAAAAAGCCGAAAATTTGTATTTTCTATATACCAGAAATTAAAGAAGTGCATATGCATCTTTAGAAATATTCATTTGTGCAGAAATGGTGAACATGTGAAGGAAAAGTAAATTTTTTTCTCGGTGAATTTGGTATGAAAATGTCAATTGATGAAAATCTGTTCAAGATATCGCAAAATTCATACGTTCTTTAGTTTTTGGCATGTGGAAAATGAAAATTTTTGGTTCATTCCTCTAAAAATGATTTAAATCGCTACCAACACGTTTGATACCAGTTACACCAAATAATTTTCGTTAATAAGTACACCAACGCATACTAATACAATTTGTTTTGTTTATTAAACACTGTAAACATTGAAAGCAATGTAATATGTTTCCCAAATTAAAAAAAGGTTACACTATTTATACGATCTGCTATCTTTTGGTCCCAGACTGTATCTAATATTTTCACTGTCACAATATCGGATTGAATTAAAATTTCACGTGTGTCGATAATTCTGGTATTAACTGTGAACGAAATAACGCTGAACTCACAGTGCCGATGACATATCGCAGCATAATTTGTAGTAGTGGTAAACCCAAGAGGTCCACGAATAATTCAAGCGGTCGAACTAGCATGTTTAAAGATCGTCTACGCCAGGTGACCACCTAACATCCTTCTAGTACACTTCAAAGCGGGATAAATTTAACAAAGGATAATAATGATAAATTGACAACAGGGTCGCCTTTCGCCGAAAAGCAAAGGTAAGGGGGGAGTGGGTGGGGGAGGGCGGAGTGGGGCAGAAAATTCGGCTTGTCTTTCGCGACTGGCAGACGGAGGCCAAAAACGGGAGCAATATAGCTTACCGGGCGAGTGATCTTGCGATGGTATTAATAACGTGCGTGTGCGGGAGGTGGCCCGATTCATTGAAGACCAGTTATAGAATGATGCAGGCGGCCCGCGTAACTACAATTTATTTTTTGGCTATTTTTAGCGGTTGGCGTGGCGCCACTATTTTCGGTTCTCTCAAATTTCTCACTCCATATTTGGGATTATGGATGACGGCCCCGCGGCACGGCGGTGTATCTTTACGACCGCCTGGCCCGCCGCGCGCCGGCCGAGACACTTTCGTTTGCTTGCCCGCCGTTTTCCTATCGGCCGTTTATGCTCCCCGTTTAACGAGGCGCGGTTACCGATCACGCGCCCCGAACAATGGACGCGGTTAATCCTGTCCACGGTTCACTGTGACGTTTCCTTCCCCCCTGACACTTGATCCTTAAAGGGGACTTTAAGGCCCATTAATGTTTACTTGTACGTGACCAACGACACTTGATTCTTTAAGGCGACTTGAAAATCCAGGAATGTTTACTTTTACGTATTCCCCGATCGGAACATCGTTTTAACTCCGAAGATAATTCGTAGATATCTGTTCATTACCATCAACGGTGACACGCGTGGTGGTACACAATTACGGGCAACAAGTGGATGATTCGATGGGAGGAGGACGCGGGCTACGCGTGTGTACGATATCTCAATTGGCAGGGGCGCAAGTAGGTTAAAAACGGTAAGTCAGCTGCAATGCTCGGGAATATGTCAAGGCAAGAGCAGGGTAGAAATCTCCAAAAAAGCTACCGGCGAGAGACCCTAGTTTCATCGATCCTGTATTTTTATGGGAGTCACGTCGAACGAATACGAAGCTCGCGGGTGAGGATCGTTCTCTGGTATAAGAGAGATCACGTCGAACGGAGGCGATGGTAAAAATACATTATCTCCAAATTTAAATTTTCAAGCTTGGCGGGGTATTCGAAGGCCGTAATCGAATCGCGTCGCAGCAGCAGATCGGTGGACCGTGAGCCACTGGCCCGATTACGAGGGCAACCGTGCAACACCCTATCATACTGAGAACACACCATCGAACCCCCCAGGATCACCGTACGACGAAAACAAATACAGGGTTAATCTCTGGCTGCTAGAGTACAAAGGCAAGCCTCGGTTGCTTCGTCGTTTAACAGCCGCTAGCTACCTTTGCCGAGCAGCCTATGTGTATGACAGAGACAGAACCGCACAATGATAGGCTGCTCGGTAGAGATTAAGCTACCGATGACACGTTTTGGGTCACGGTATTCGAACGACAAATCAGACGGATTGTCTTTATACCCTAAAGAAATTCACCCTGGATTTATCCTATCGGTTCACGCTACCATTCGACACCATTTTGATCATCCTCTACGGCGTTCGGTCTCGAATTACCTGTCACGGGAAACTTGCTTTCCGGCAACATGAACGAGCGTTGCTGGGTGATCTCTCTTCTCCGTAAATCCCGGCCGATGAACCGCCGCGAACATTCGTCGTCGAGGAGATGAATGATCGATCAGATCGGCTGGTGGTGGGCAGCAGCGGTGGTGTCTTCTTTTGTATAACCACCGTTTCAAGCTTCCACGACGCGACGATCACTCCCGTCCGCGAAAATTACTTGTACACGAGAAAGAGAGAGAGCGAGAGAGAGAGAGAGAGAGAGAGTAACCGCGGAGGACACGCAGCCGCCGATCATAGTGCGATGAACCCAGTCCGCGTCGAATCACCCGATTCGCGGCCGCCGGACACCTGTTGTATCACCCACGGAGCAGCGACACTTTGACGAAGCGATACGATAGAACTTGAACGGAAAACCGTGGAAAAGTGTCGGGTAAACGAGTCGACGTACGAGTCGAGCGAAGGTGTTGCGAGTTTCGAAGACAGAGGGCACGTGGCCGGGACCACGGGTTATCCGTAGACGAGGAGAACACCGATACAAGAACGATGAAGATAGGAATAACGAGCGGGAACAGGGTGATGCTTGTGGGAAAGGGTGGGGGAAGAAAGGTGGAAACAGAAGGTGAGAAAGAGAGAGAGAGAGAGAGAGGGAAGACGCAGAACGTAGCAGTCCGTTTTGAGGCAGTTTTGGCACTGTTACCAGCACGAACAGCCAAGCACCAACCCCGAGCAGCGCCTCCACCTCCGCCGCGAGAGACGAGCAAGACGACGACAGCGACGACGACGGCAGCGGTGGCGAAGAAGATGAGCAGAGGTTCCCCCTTAGAGGAAGAAGAGCGAGCGGAGGCGAGGGCGTATATTCTTGATTTGGGCGGATGGAAATCTGAGATTGCTCCATATCGGGCTGTGCGCCGTGACCAAGGAGGTGCTCTGTAATAGCAGACATCTGAAACTTCTCTCTCGGCTGACTCCCTCTCGTTCTCTCTACCTTCGTTTCAGCCTCCTTCGCTCTCCGATCTTTCTTTCATCGCAAGCGTTTCCTTTTCCTCTTTTTCTTCTTCTTCTTCTTCTGCTGCTGCGTCTGCCTACTCTCTTCGCGCGACGTTGCTGGATAATGTTTCTACCTTTACCGATGCTTTTCTTCCTTTTACCCCGCCCGTTTCCGCTTAATCTTCTCTACTTTTGTTGCGTTTTCTTTGTACGGTTCGTTGTCAGGTGATGGAATTTATGGTTTTATTGGGTTTTAATAATACATTTATAGCGATTGAGTATCCTTGGATTTTTTTGGTATTCTCGATTTGTGAAAGTGTAATGGGAATTTCGTTAACGATTTGAATAATTTACGTGTTTCGGAATCAGAGAATTATTATTGAAATTATTATTAGAAAATTGTACAAGATTTTTCATTGTAATTTCTTTGGGTGTAGTTTTTAGAACTACAGGATCTCGTTTCTTTTAGCGCTGTGTTGCCAGTGACAGCGTGTGTTTGATAGTTTGTCGTAGTTTTAATTAAATTAATCGATTTTGCTGGAATACTTTATAGTTTTAATCTTTCATCTTTATATTTTCTTCTCTCGGTATTCCCTAGTCGAGTGCAGAACCTAGCCATATTAATAAAACCTCTAAAAATTATCATAAAAACGTGTGGTAAATTCCCTCGGAATCCAACACCGATACGTCTAATAATTTACAATTCTGATCGAAGAATTTATTAAAACATCTTCAATATTACGATCGATCGGTTTAAGAAATCGATTAGATAGAGCAATCCATTAATCTTACGTCTATTGATTTCACGAATCTACTGTTACGATACAAGAATCCCTCCCGTAAGAATGACTAATTCCCTCTGGACAGATATCGGAATCATCCGAAGGTGTCGAGCGTGAATTTGGGATCTGACATTTAATTCTCCACCGATACGCTGCGTTCTACCAACTGTCAATAGAGAGACGTCAAGGTACACGTACGTGCACGATAATGTGCAAGTTTATACGACCGCGTCCGATATTCCGGAGGCGTATATTATATCCCGCATAGGTTAAGCCACCCCGCCTACTTGCGCTACGTGTCCCAATACCCGACCAGCGATATGTCAACAGCTACTTTCCACTTCGCGAGAGGTCCTGGGGCACCAGGTTTTATCGGCGACGCTCGCGGAGCAACGTTACCGGTCTGGCTTATGGCGACAGGCCACGGGGGAGCGTACAAGACGGCTGACAAGCTGCCGTTTTAACGTGCGATTACGCCCGTTGCGAGAAGAAAAAAGCCCGGTCATTGTTGCTTTTCGCATGGCCGTTCGACGGCGATAAGTTAAGTCGATTGAACGGGACACTGGACGTGGTAAACATCGATCGAACACACCATGGACCTCTCGGGAACTTTTCGTACGTTGCGTGATTGAAAGGTTTTTATGGGGGACGTCGAAACGGTTATGAAAGTGTTCCAGTTACGCCAGGTGTTGATCGAAAATTTCGAGACTACTGACGAAACTCCTGTATTGATTTCTAGCCAGAAAAAATCACATCATAGTCATTCCTGAATAAATGCGACATGAACAACGCCGTTAATCCCACCACTGAGGGGGACCCCTCTGGAATTAATCAAAACAGAGATTTGAGGCTTTCATGGTCCGGCATCGGACAGTTCTCAGTGTTGAGTATTATAAAAGCAAAGGCCAAAGGATACTTTCCCAGAAAATACCGGGAAACGATGGAAATACTAAAACACCCTAATTACATCAACAGGGGTACAGGACTCCACCTGAACCCAATCCGGAGCTCCCTCCTACCAGTTTTTTAATTGTTCAGCTGATCAGAATTAGCTTAATTATAAATCATTTTTATAACGCATAATAATTTTGAATAATGATTACAACAAAAATAAACAGATTCTTCGCAAATGTAGTGAGACAAACATGAACGTGTATGAAGGCGGTATTCAATTGGAGCACTCCTCAGGTATTCAATAATAAGACGATCTCGCAGTACGAACAACAATTCGAATTTATAACAAGTCTGTTTTCTGTTTACGTTCAGTTACCAAGTATCACTAAATTACATTCATGTTTCACTCATGCGTTAATAAAGAATTTTATTACATTTAAGGATGATCTATGCAAATTATTCGGAAAAAAACAACTTTACGTGACATCGCCTAATTTATCTCGATGCCACCTACAATACCTAGATAGAAGGAATTGTACGGTGCCATTTAAAAAAAGTGATGTTGACCTTGATTTTTTATCGCAGGCAAAGTTTTCTGGCAATTTTTCAATATTGCAATTTTTTGTCGATTGAGTGTTGGCTAACCTTTGCTTCCAGCCTTTTTTGTGCACATTTTCTTTTGCTTGACTTGTTTATTTCCAATTACGATTGAAAATCTTTAAATTGTAACACTTCCAGCCTGCCGTATATGACAGACAAACAATTACTCTGTTATCTTAGACAAATTGGATACATGAAATATTAATTACCCTTCAGTTAAGAAACGTTTTGAATTCGGATATGCCATATTAGGTACGCTTATCCTGAATCGCGCGTACATTAATGGATGGGCGTGTTGCCGAGGAGCGGAGATTGCGCGTGTCGTGTCGCATCTCGTCCAGTTGTTCGGTGCAACGTTGTGGGAAACACCGCTTCTCCGACGGCAATCGAGACTTCGAGGCTCATTAACCCTCGAGACAGCGCGTTATTGCAGATTACGACGTTGCCCGGTGAACGCGTTCGCTGGCCTGTACATACACGTATTCGGGCTGCGGTCGTGGAACGTTAGCATTCGGTGTGAATATTAATTCACGCGTGAACGAAGAAACCACCGAACGGTTCTGCACACCAATAAAACTTCGACACGTAATGATGGGGGTCCATGGGCAAACAGGTCCAAATATGTTTGACCTTTTTACGATCACGAAAAGTATCCACAGTTCGTATGGAGTTTAGTCGTGGCAAGGCGACTGAACACTTTTCAAATATTACTACCGCTTCAAACCACTCGAGTCGAACATGTATTTGAAACGTTCGAACTGTTTAAATCGTTTGAACTGGTTGGACTGTTCGAATTGTTTGAATTGCTTCACTGTTTGAATTCTTGCAATTTTTTTCACTTATTGAACTCTTTGAATTCCTTGAACTCTTTGAAGTCTTTCAATTCTTTGAACACTTCGAACTCTTTGAATTCTTTGAACACTTTGAATTCTTCGAATTGTTTCAGTTCTACGAATTCTTCAAATTGGGCAAATATTTTAAAACGCTTCAAGCCACTGGAGTCGGTCATGCGTTTGAAACGTTCGAATTGTTTGAATTGCTTGAAATTTTCGAATTGTTTGAACTGTTTGAAGAGTTGGAAGTGTTCGATCTATTTGGACTGTTTCAACTGTTAGAAATGTTCGAATTGTTTGAAGCGTTTGATCGCCTCGCCACGATAAAGCTCTGTTTGGACTCCCCAAACATCTCATCAGGAGAACAAACATGTTTGAACAGTTTCGTTAGCTGTCACTAGTGATAAATTCGCGTTGGATCCTTCGTGATCGCCCCCGGAGCTCAAATCCTGTTTTCTCTTCGTTGTTGTGGGCATCGTTTACGAGAATTTCAAAGGAAACGATAATTTAGCGAGCGAGTCCGTTTGTCAGCGGTAACTGTTAAGTAACGATTCGTGTATAAGTTACGCGGTGAACGTCGTCGCGCTGGATTCTTAGCCGGGGCTGTTAATCATCGAGGAATTCACGGGAAAAATTGCGAGCTCGTTATGCGAGGCGCGCCCGTATTTCCTTCGGCTGTTTTTCCATTTTCTTTTTTTGCTGCTTATGGTACTGATTGATTGTTACAACGCTGAATTGCATAGCGTTACGAGGAAAGGATTTAATCGAAATGGTATTAGCCTATCCAGTGTATCGGTTTATTTCATTTCCGAGTACGTTTTATCGATTATGTTGTACCGTTCGAGTGCAGCTAAACATCAAATTGGCTCTATGCACCGTATCCACCAAATCATTATCAGATTCCTATTTATTCCGGAATTTGTATATTATCTAAGTCCTAAGTGATCATAAAAGTACGTTTCAGAAGTTTGTTTCATTAAAGAACACTAATTCTTAATCACTCATTAGGAAGCACGTATTCAAGGAAATATGAAGTATTTTTTATTAAACAAAATAGATACTATCAGAATCGTTTTCATTAAAAGTTTTTCGTTTAAAA